ATATTGTATAATCAGTATTGCCTGTGTCGTCACAATGAATTTAAAGAAAACACAACAGTCTGCTTTATGTTACATTTAAAATATGTACTTGAAAGCATTTTAAGTGAAACTGGGTAATAGCTGTACCTAAATATAATTTATTTTTGTTTATGTTTATTATTACTCTCAGACCATGATTTTTACATTATACCTGGATCAGAACAGTTAAACTTTTTTTGAATACCACTTTATAAAGTGTAAAATACCCCAAGCTACTGTAGGTGAAACAGTTTTAATTTTGAATGAGTAGCTGTTAAATTCATTCCAGAAATAAGTGATGTAAAAGTCAATGAATGCTTTACAACAGTAATTAGGATGGTTGGAATTTGGAAATGCATTACACCTAGACTTTGTTGTTTTGAAAATGTCGCCTGCTTGGTGCAGTGAATAGAATGTCTGCTCTAGAGTCGCAAATTAAGGAGTTGATCCTTATGTCGCGGGTTCAAATCCCAATGTGGGACTTGGAGACCGTTCCTTCGGATGAGAATGTATAAAACAAGGTCATATGTTGCAATAGTTACTGGCATGAAAAAGATCCCCCACTTTTCAATGGCCCTGAGTGCTGAATATAGGAAAAAAATTGTAGCTCTCCACCGGCAATCAATCAATGTTTTGAAAATTAAATTTATTGAAAGTGAAACATGTATGTATCTGTATGTATGTATTCATCTCTGCAACCTACCAACTCTACAAAATAATGAAATTTGAGTCACATTAGGCATATTTAACGAAATCAACCATCACCCATGATGCATATAAATTGCAATTACAGTCTCATATGTTAAGTTTTCACAGTTCAGATTGTAAAATCTCTTGTAAGTTTTGTTGTTGAAACCTTTTGTCGAGACTTTATGATCTGACACTTCATGACTTGTCAGTTAGAAAATAGTAACAGATAAAATTTGAAATCAGTTAACATCTGTAATTGATACTTGTGACATGACCCGGCGAGTTTTCCTTTGAAGTCAAGCATACTGTAACTGCGATACAGAACACTTTTTGTGGGCGTTTCTTATGCAAATGAGCCGAAACTGTACTGTATCATCAAAATATCAACGATACAGTACGGTTTATTTTTAGCGATGACGGAAAGCTGAATCTGTATACTGACACATTAGAATCGTTCAATTCCCATGAAAGCACTGTTAGTATTTACTCAAAATATGAGGTGAATTAAGAATTACAAAGTTATTAGTGTCGGATTCAAAAATTTTAGAAAGGAGGGTGTTGGACAGTTCACAAATGATTACTTTGATTATTTCGGGGGGGGGGATTTATAACCAACCAAGACACTATGTGGTGCTATCGTTTCTTGTTGATAAATTAAAAAGCGTATGTAAACAAGTTTAGCAAAAATAACTTACGAAAGCGAAAAGGAAAAAAAACTCACAGGAGGGTTGAGTGGAGCGCATCAATGAGTGCTGGGATCCCCTTTGGTTACTCTACATTTTATTAAAAACATGAAGGTAAAATACTCCCCCCCCCCCCCCCCCCCCGCTTTCCTTTCATCTGTTTATTTCAATTTTTTTATATTGCGACAGTTGGAGGACATTGTCGGACAATTCTTTCAGAAAACGCTTTCCCGAAGTATTTTTGTTTCAAAAACATTTCCACATGATTCTTATATATTAAAATGTTTTGCATTAAATCGTAGCTTAAATTTTTTTTAAAAATGTCGGCAACAGCTGAATAGAGAAAAAAAACCTTCAAATTTAATTTTTTTGGAAAACAAATGCATCCCCTATATAATTATTTTAAAATGATAAATACCTGCACCTCCACCTCTCTCGGCATTTCAGTTGGGAATGCTTAAAATGGGATTCTTAATCAACTTTCTGCAAAATCATCTGATTGGTGAGAGATATGTACCCAAATACGCATGTAAATTAGTGAGGTCATTAGAAAGGTCATGTCACAAGTCATTTAGAATACTCGTTTCCTATGTATTACAGGGCGGGGCCCGGCTCGACATCGCTCTCGCCTCAAGCCCCGCCCTGTATGTAGGAAACTACTCTAAATATAACATATGATATCTACACTTGTGTTTGTCTTTTGAGTTTTAAGTTATAAGTGAATTCATTATTTTCAAAATAATTCCTTTGATTTTATTTTAGTGTAATCAGCATTCATATTGGGGTTCAAAATGAGGAAGTTTTTAAATTTGCTAATTGTACATAAAACAAAGCTGCAAATATACAAAAACAAGTCATTTTGGTGACACTTAGATGTACAGCAGCTTTGCATATTATGTTTTGCAATAAACGTAATAATTTTTTTAATGCCAGTAAGAGAGAATTCAGAATTGTCTTAATTTAATTTTCCGAGTTGACTGGGTTCTTTTTCATTTTAACCTGGATAATCATTGTTTGTGAGTGACATTTATGTTGCACTTAAGTAATTCTCCCTCGTTGTTACCATACAGATGTGAAGAGGTATACTGACTTTCTTTGTTTATTATGTATACCTTTTTTAAGGCTATAAAGAACTTTTTTTTAGTGTCATAGTGTTCTAGAATGTTCAGCTGTTTATATAATGTGGAGACAGTATAAATGTAACAAATGGCGGTAAACTGGGGGGGGGGGGGGGTGCAGGCTTTATTCTTTCCTCCATGCAATGTTAATCTAATGTTATGCATGTGTGTAATTAGCTTTAGGAAAAGAAGGTTTTTTATTAATCTAACTAGGAATTTGAAGCATTTTGCGAGTGAAAACATTGAAGTCACGCATAAATGATAAGTTAAAGATAGTGCCAACAGGTAGAAATAATAGTAAATAGTGTGTGATGGTGCAGAGATTTACTGTGTATAGTAGAGTCCTCCCACGCATTTAACAGTCAGGGGACCATAGACAGGGCATCTTAGGAGGGGTCTGTCCTCTCCAAAAATATAGGGGGACCACATAGAGTAGGCAGGTGTCAAGAAGCTTACAGGAGGAGGAGAGGAGCCCATGTAAATAACATCTCATTGTGTCCATGTTGCCATACCATCATAGGGTGTTGATAGCCATTATACTGGTACTAGTATTTTAAGTTGTTTTATAGTGTCAATCCTCTGAGATTTGTGCTGTTGGTGGCATTTTGCGGGGGTGGTCGTGTGATGTAATTTGCAAGTTCTAGAAGTCTTCCTCTCTTTTTTAAATGACAACAGAAGTATTAGGTAAGCGGAATAATGCTTTCCTCATAATTTGTATTTCAATCAAGAAATCATGATCAAGAATCTCTCCTAAAATGTTGTGTATTGATATTCAAACTAATCACAATGCAGACTTGTTTTGTGGAAATTGAAGAAGGAAATTACATCTTGAATTATTTGTTTTTCCCTCTTAAAAAAACACAAAAAATGGAGCAGCTGCATTTGTTAAAATCTGCTATATGATCATGATGATTCTGTGATTTATATTTTGAATATTGTTGGATCATTATTTTGTCAGTAGAAGTATGGGGTTAACATGATATCATGTCAACATGGTTAAAATAAATACACAAATACCTGGTACATCAAGATTAAAGTCCTTTGCTGAAGTGACCTGTCATTTATGTTTGAAGCATTTTATTTGGCCAGCAAATATACTTGTATTTTTTCTGTTTGATTTATGTGCAAGTGTTTTTCTTGGTGTTTGACCTAATAATAAAAATTCTGGCAAGGAAATCATTGTTGAAATGAAAATTTAATAATTTATGAAAAAAAAATAATTAATATACTTGTATCTTTACAACAACTTGGAACTTTTGAAGTGTTCATTTCCGTCCATAGCTTTTTATCTGCTTTTTTAAATACTGAATTATATTATACCACATGGCTTTATTAACGTATTTTTGTATTTATTTGGTGACATACAACAAAAGAGTTAAGGAAGGAGAAAAACAGAACATAAAACAAATTTGATAAAAATTATATCACCATCACTTCAAGTCTGTAAATTTGGAAAAAGGATTTGAATAGCAAATGAAGGCAATTTTTAAAATATTTTAAGTCTTTTTGACTGCTATAAAGTGATTTTTTTGTGGGTTTTACCATCGGCTTGTACAGTGGGTCTATATAGTGATGGGGATGTTTGTCTGTGTGTCTGTTATACTTAGGGATAGCCCACCCTTACCCACAACTCACTTTCTGCTGTTGTAGAAAATTTAGCAAAATTCTTAGAATTGTTATACATGTAACAAAGTGCCAGTGTGCAACATCTAATTGTGTTTCTATCAGTCACATGATATTTAAGATTTCCCATAGCAAAACATGGATACTGTAATTCTTTCTACAATATCTAAGGTACTAATTTCCTTTTCATAACCCCTCGTTTTATACCACTAAATAAAATTTAATGAGACTTCTACATAATTTTAATACATAGTGCCTTTGTGCACCTCTTAAATATTTTACATTTCATTGATAGAAATGTACATATTTTGGAGCTTCCCAGAGCAAAACATGGACATTGCTGTTATTAATTGTATGGGAGGGGGGAGAGGGCGTCATTTTTTGAGTGGAATGCTCACAGTACCACTACTTTTTTTAATCATTATGTGTGACAAAATTTGAGGTACAGTAAGCTTCAAATCACAAGTTACTCACAAGTTGCCTCAACTTTGAGTAAATCATTGAAATCTTACGACTGAAAAGATGTAAAACCTGTGGAGATTTGATTTTTTGCTGTGTCATATGAGAGGAAGTTTTGTTATCATTTTAATTGTACATATCATTAAGTCAAGAGTGCAAACCAACAGGAAACAGGAATTCAAGGTTTATTATAAGTTTGTAAAGTCTGGAACTTGATAACACCTCATTGACTCTTTATCAAGCCTCATTGAGACTTTGACTGCATCAAGCCAGTCTGTGAGTAGATGAATGCTGAACTCCAAGTACTAACAGAATGAGTCACCAGTGACATATATATAGATGTTTAAATCAATTAAATGAGCTACTTGAGTTTTATTTAAAATGAATCTGACATTAGGCAGTGTTGATGTTTGTTGATGTATATAATTAATCATGTTGTTATTTACATGTGTGACAGGAATTAATTGGTTTTCTTGTCTCTCTGCTTGTTCAACATGAGTCATTTCTGTGTGGAAGTACTGGTGAAGGAAAACAAAGAGATACACTGTAATGGTGTGCAGTAGAGGAGCTCTCTTCATCTGCCCTGGGCAAGTGGTGAAGTTGGTACATTTTTTATGCCAGTATTAAGATTATAAACTGCATACAGATGGCTAGCCAGAAGCCATTGAACTTGTGGTAATTAGGATATGAAGGCAGTTTACACAGGAGTCTGAGTGAAACGACAACTTCTGTCTCTTCTTTTTAGGTAAATCATAAAAAAACAAAACCCAGTAAAGGAGACATGTTAATCTTGTTAATATTTCACTTGCTGTTGATGTATCGGGGAACCTGAATAAGTAGAACAGCCAAGGTTTAATTATCCTTGACACCTATCTGGTATTTGTGAAAAAAACTACAAAGTGTTATCAGTATTTCAGCAGACTTGCAGGGTATCTTTTTATCAGGTCTGATGCGAGGGATTATCAGAATATTCTGCACACAATTGCACCAAAAATCCATTAAAGTGATGTTCAAGTTGAAGTCTCACTTCTTAGTACAATGTCATTAGTTTTGTAAATCGTTAAATATACTGGTGTATACATGTATCAATAAAATTTTGTTCTTGAGAATAATGTTAACTACAGATTATTAGATTTTCTGAGTTGACCTAAGAAAGTCTGAGCCCCTTGGCCTTCCCCTGCCCTTTTAAGAATCTATCTCCAGGTTCATTTGACCTTGACCATGCACACATTTCTTTTGTTAATTATGTCACTGACTTTTGATTTTCATCTCAAAATACTCAAACATGCAGTTGTTTTACCAATAAAATTTCATGGATTCTGAGATTCCTTTTCATTTGACAATCATTTGATGACAGATGGATTAACTCTCATGTTCTGTATTTTATTTCTTTGAGACATTGCGATTACGGACTCTCTGAACCTGTAAAATGTTTGTATTGTTGTATTGTCTTCAAATCCCTTCATTAGCCCGGTTTTATGTTCAATACACCGTCACAGTCACAACAAAGAAGAAACTATATCAATTTAAATGTCAAATTTGTAGATTGTGTACACTTGTATTTTCAGCAGTGGAGTCATTTTTGCAATCAATTGAGAAGGCATTATTTAGTCTATATCAGTTTCTTTGACATTAAGAAGTCGTTCAGTGCGTTAATCACTAGTGTCGGATTGGGACGTTTTGTCAGTTGTGTATCAGTTTGTATACGTTTTCGGAGGGAATACAGGTGACCTGGTTTAGATCTGGTTCTTTAGACGTCCTTTTGTTGTCCTGGATGGTCTTGTAGAGAGAATCCTATTACAAATCCTTAATTCCAAGCATTCTATTATGTTTGGCTATTTGAAATAGGGGCCAAGGAATATTGCAGGTTTAATAACTTTTTTTCATATAGAAGTTATGTAACATGGTTTAAATGTGGTAGAATCAGACATCAAGGTCTTTAGAATATTGTCTGATTATTTCTAAAGAAGTAATCTAGTTATCAAGCCTAGAAAACTGTTGGAGTTGATAAAATAAGCTCGGTTTTCATTTTAGAATTCCTGAATGATGAGATCTGCTTTTTTTCAAAGTTTAATAAAAAAGTTCAACAAATCTGTTTTGTTCCCCGTGTTTGCAGAGAGGATGGTTTGATCTACGTATATCTGACACACATTCTGGACGGTGTACTATAAATTCATATCTTTAATATTGATATGATGTTGTACAGAAGGTGCAAGCAGTAGTCAAGTTTGTGAACTCACAAGCACACTTCCAAATGAACAAATACATTGTAGGTTTTTTAAACAAATTAAGTATGGCATCTATTTAATTTTCTCTTAAAACCCGAGTGTGTGCAGGCTTCTCCATTGTTACACAGGCTTAGGAATTTTGAGAACTTAATTGCATATGTGAAATATCTTTTAAAAATCCTAAATGAATTGGAGTTTTGATATTTTGGTGAGCTGGTGTCAGATGAAGGCAGGAGATTGCCCTAGTGCCAGAAGCATCTGTCTTGTAACCAAGCTTACAGCTGTTATATGTGCAAGCACTTGTAGCATAGAAAAATTCATTTTGATGAAAAACAACTTGAGAATGTTAGCTCATTTAGATAAATCAAAGAAATAAACATTACCCCAGATCACAAGTTACTAAGTAAATGGTAATTGCAGGTGTGTATGTAACAAAGGGGAATGTCGACCTTTAGATGATATATATTCTGTATACATACATAGTAAACCTACTAAGGATAAGACAACCAGAGATATAAAGTGTAGCTTTCCTGTCAGTCTGTTACACTAACCTGAAACTGACACAATTTTCATGTTTACTGATTCACATGCAGAGTATTTACATATATTTCCTATTTTGTAATCGCTGGAAAATATGTTTGGGGTGAATTTATACTACAAACCTAGTAAGAAATCTTTTGCATCATTTTTTGTCCATATCTGATTCAGTATTGGTAAAGCATTATCAGGGTATTGCAGAGATAACTCATGCCTCTGGTTTTGCTACAAATTAATTTTATTCCTCATGTACCAGGTGTACATTTATTTAGAACAATTGAACTTTATTGCTGTTGGACTTGATAATTTAAAATTCATTGTTCATTGGTGTAAAATTAAAAAAAAAAAAAAAACTTTTTCTGCATGTTCAGGATATGTATAGCAATATTTTGTCTTAGTATTTTTGAAGATAACATATAACTTACTTGACAGTTTAACATTTTTATATTAAATCAAAATATTAAAAATTATGTCAAAATATTATTAATTATAAAATGTTTATTAACAAAAAAGATATTTTGATGTATAACGTGATGAGTTTACAAACATCACATGTAACCTTTGAAAATTTTTGTTGTAATGTGTGTAATAGTATTGAATGTAATACGTAATAGATAACATAACACAGTCCGTACAGGAAATGATGAACCACCTTAAAGTGTGCAGATATTGTCTAATATATGTGTTGCAATAGAACAGGTTAAACCTATTTTTATGCTTCTGTTATTCAACCTGTTCAAAGCTTTTACACTAAATAGCTCTGTTTTATAATTAATCATATGATTGATTTCTATTGAGGAAGTATTTAAGTCGTTCCATTTCTCTCCTGTTGGGGATGCTAATGCCTGACAATTGTACCAGGGATTTGTGCAATATTTATCAGAATCTCAAATTCTCACAACCATGGATGATACAGCTAGCATTCAGTAAAAAGTTGATGAATCTAGAACAGCAAGACTTTTAATGGAAACTTCACATGTTACACATTACTAACTTGGCAGGTTCATATTGTGTTAGCTTGTTATAGTGTCTTAGATATGCTGGATTTATGTATATTTCTTCTGCTTGTCAAATAATTAATTGTAAACATCTTTTTTTTTTACAGAAACAGAAAAATGAAGATTTTACAGATTGGTTATAATGACAAGTTTCCTCCATGAATAGCTTAAGATAACAGATCCCAAAATGGGTAAGTATGGGCTTTTTCGGGCTCAAGACTTCAGTATTGTAGATAGTCTAGATTTTCTGTATCTGGCACAGGACTGCAACATTGCAGATAGTGTAGATTTTCTTATGACTAAGTCTATCAGCATTCTTCAAAGTACTTAGTATTTTATAGGTAAGAAACTATATACATACTCTGCAGACATGGTGCATTTTGTTGATAATGCTGATATCTGAATGATAGTGAACACAAGAGTGTGACAAACTTTGAATGTTTTATAGAAAGTTTCTTACATGGATAAAAAATATTCTACATTCTAAATCCTCTTAACAAAAGTTTTATTTACTTCAATTTTAAAAACAATCCTACCCCCTTCTTCTTGGTCTGAAATCAATTAAGGGTGGACCAATTCATTGTTGGCCCAAAATTACTGGAAGGACTAATTTAGTTGTACTGATCTTCCATTGGACCAACGGATGGACGATAATTTCGAACACTGGCCGGGGTCTTACTTTTAGAGTTAGAAGATTCAAGTCAGAGAAGGTCATTTATAACATAGATTAATAAGACTACATTGATGACTGATGAATGGTATAGATGTGTTACAGTGTTTTGTTTTGTTCTTTCAGATGGTCAGCCATCTTTAGATGCTGTGATGGGCTCCATCCAGTCTCAACTGGAGAAGGGTTTAAAACAGGGCAGCAAGATAGCAGCCCAGAGTGCCATCGCTAACTTACAGGTAAGACGATCTAAAAGAGGGCAGCAAGATCGCAGCCCAAAGTGCCATCGCTAACTTACTGGGTTCGGTAAAAGTATTTAGGCAGGAGAAGGGCCGGGGGAGGGGTTGCAAGATAGCAGCCCAAAGGAAAGACTACCAGTGTGTTGCAGCCCAAAGAGCTAATTAAAATCAGATACAAATATAGCAATAATATACATGTATATGTAACTTGTGAAGTTGAATTTTAAAATATTATATCTAGAATGTCTACAATATTATCAAATTTTGTAATTCTCTAAGATTTTGAAAAATCTTTTCAGAAAAACCACAGTAGTCATAGACAGAAAGTAAAGCTGGATTACATGGGAGAAAAACGGTGAGTCTGTTTTCCTCATAGCCAGATAATGATTTATCTCTAGCAACTAGTTCATGAATATTATATGAATATGGAATTTATTAATACTTTATGAATACAGAATTAAATTGATGAATGTCTAAAAAAAAAAAAAAAATTTTTGCTCCCCACCCACTCGGAAAAACCTGTGGCTGAAGGTTGTAGGACAGCAATTTACTCATTTTCAACAATAGTGTTTTTACACTGCTTTAATTAAAGTATAACCTATGAATTGTATTAGATAGGATAATTGCACATCTCTTTCAAATATTCCTCGTCCAGTGATTTTTTTTTTGTTTACATTTTCTTGGTTTTCCACTTTAGTGTTGTTACGTTGCCCCGGCCTGTTGTTTATGATGACGTTTGTGCCAAGATTCGGGAGATGTATGGATTTGATATGAATATAGTTTTCACACAGTCCAATGGAGAGGTAGGCTATTCTCCAATAACACAGCTGACTTCTAATTATAACTACCTGTGGGAATCCTGAAAGTAAAACTGCTGATATCAAAGTGTATTAAAAGCAGTCAATTGCCCAGGAAATTATGATGTACAACATAAGGGTTTTTGTCAGATCAAATAAATTAAGTACAGAGAGGGTATACACACAACTTGTAAAAATTCTCATCAAACTTCAGAATTTATAATTGTGGTTGATAGAAATAGAAAATAGAAGATATTTCAAAAATTGCTTTTAAAATATGATCAGTGAAGGATGCAAGGTGGTGAAAAAAAACTAATGAAATATTTAAATGCATCTAAAAAAAAAAAGATTTATAATGCCTTAAAATAGAAGCAATTTTAGGTTGTTTTGGGTGAATGGTTCAGTTTATGACGGAGATTTTTTTTGCCAACATCAGCTGCAATCACAGGTGATCTCATTGGATACCTAGATATCAGCCACAATTCTGCTACTCCTTTTATGTGTATTATAAATCTGTATTGACTCTGAATAGTATAATTTATAACCCTGATTCTTAATGTATTGGGAAATTTTGATGGTCAGATTTGATACTATTGTGGATAAATTTTGTATCTATCTCTGTGTGACATATGGCTAAAAAGTTTTCACTCCTAGTGTTAATGTGGCTTCTATATTAGAGTAGAGATTTTCAATAGTTAAGGTCTTTGAATGTTATGATGGTTTAAATATAGAAGATAAAACTTTGAAAGGCTGTGTAAGTTATAGTACATTTGTACATGGTTGCACTTCTATGAACATCAGTGAATAGGTACAAGTCACAAGCATACATTTCATTGCATACATTTTCACATGTTTTAAACTTGTGTCTCGTTTATCAGAATGTGGTATGCATGTAAATGTATGTATAATAGAAGTGTTGGTAAACCTGTAAAGAATTTCAATATTTACCAGACACAAATTCAATTTTGATATGATAATGAACCTAATTATACATGTATGTGAAGAAGTTTTGGTATTTTTTTAAATTGAATTATTTTCTATTCCAGATAAAAACTCCAATTTGTAATCAAAATGACCTTGACATGGCCATTGCTTTAGTGGATAAAAATGAGAGATCAACAAGTCTTCGTTTAATCCTGACCGCTCCTGTGGGTCAAGGTCACGGCCGGAGAACAGGTGCCCCCTCCATAGACACTGGTTACTCTTCCATTAGATCTCAGGTGAGGGGCCCCTCAAGGGAAATTTTAGATGAAAAAAAACTGTAACTCAATTTACACACATTACTTGAATTTGTATTTAACACTTATTTACACAGAAAAAGATTTTTGGCACATGTGATATGCTAAAAGGTTAAGTAGTTTAAGTGCATTAACTTACACCAAAGAAGTTTTGATGCCCTGTATTGGCCCTCATTAAATGCACTACTCTTTTAAAAGTGCTAAAAGGTGCAGTATCCTTTTAAAATATACAAATATAGGCTGGATGCTATCTTGAGAGCATTTTTAGCTACTAAAGACCTCTGTTGAACTCTCCTTGTTTTTAGTACACCTGATTATATTGTAACTTTTCTAGTGATGTAGGACATCCTAGTTAAGTGATGTTTGTCTTACTGTTTGTTTATTTGTTTGTGTTCGACAAATAATGATTTTTATAAAGCAGTACTATATACTTTCATAAATAGAATTTCAATGTCACATTCATTTCCCTCAGTGTATGCCTTGGACTTGATCAGCCGGTTTTTGTCATAGTTTTCCATCTGATGGTAGTTAATCTAAATGTTTCAGTAGTTAATCTAAATGTTCAGTATGTTATCAGGTATAGAGTGATTTTACACATGAACTGATTGAAACCTAATTTAACCTATGAACTGATTACACATTGTCAAGTATATGTTACCTTGGTGACTCAGTAGTTTAGTTTCGGTCGTAAGGAATTGCATTAAATAATCCCTGTATGTATGAAATCAGTATATATACACTGATTATTTCAAAGATTTTGTACAGAGGTCTTTCAAAACATCAATACAGAACACAGGAATGTGGAAAATAATATTGTAATTATTTTTTATAGGATCAGAATTCTGCAGAATTGCAATTTTTGTTCAATCAGCCAGTAGGAAATTATCCAGAGTTCTTGTCTTAACAGTGTATGTCTTGTTCGTACTTTAATTAAGCTGTGACACATTTAATCCACCATGAAAAAATATACATCTTCAGTATATAATAAATGCTTCTTCAAAGTTAACAAGGTCATTTACAAATTTTCTTATAAATTTATAAGAAAAAAGTTAGTTAGGTTCTGAGGAAATACCTAGATAAACGTAGATCACACGAACAAACACTACTAGGAAACATTTCATCTACTTGAACTTCAAGACGAAATATTTGTAGCCACTGTTTATATTGATTAACCTTTGACCAAATTTAGACAACATTCAGGAAAAAACAGACTATTTTGGTAGAGTAATGTCTTATGCTAAGAGAAGAAGGAAGTTAGAAAAGAGAAACAAACAAGACAGAAATAGAATGTCTAATGTAAAACATGGACATCAATGTAGCATCATTATCATTGTGTGTGGAGAAGACACAACAGTCAATGGTGGGGGATTTATAGCTGCTTATCGTACAGAGCATTACTCCAATTATCTCCACATAAAGCTTGTCTGTAAAACACAGGGCTGACTCAGAAGATAAAACACAGTGTCAAAGCCAAGCTTGATCTGTGCTGTATAGATTTACAATTAACTCTCTAACAAATCACGTCAGAGAATAACTTTGTATACGGATGTCCAGGACTGCCGTGGACCATGCTACTATGCTTGTTTTTACACCTTTTCACTGAAGTTTATTCTACCTGTAATAAATAATCATAAGAGACAGCAACGATGTAAGCACTTAATTGCCCATTCTGATGACAAGTTCCTTTGATAGTGATGAGGGATACAGTTAGCACCTTATTGCCCACTTTGATGATAAATTGCCCATTTTGTGACGTTATAATCTTGGTAAATATGTGCTACTGTTAGCAGCTTATTGCCCATTTTGATGATGTTATAATCTTGATAGAGATATGAGGAGCTTATTGTCCATTTTGATGATGTTATAATCTTGATAGAGGTATGAGGAGCTTATTGTCAATTTTGATGATGTTATAATCTTGATAGAGATATGAGGAGCTTATTGCCCATTTTGATGATGTTATAATCTTGATAGAGGTATGAGGAGCTTATTGCCCATTTTGATGATGTTATAATCTTGATAGAGATATGAGGAGCTTATTGTCCATTTTGATGATGTTATAATCTTGATAGAGATATGAGGAGCTTATTGTCCATTTTGATGATGTTATAATCTTGATAGAGATATGAGGAGCTTATTGTCCATTTTGGTGATATAAGTTATGTTATAATCTTGGTAGAGATATGGCCTTCTATAAGTACCTTATTGCCCATTTTGATAAGTTGGTCATTTGATGATGTTGTAATCTTGGTAGAGATATGGGCTACTGTTAGCACCTTATTGCCCATTTTGATAAGTTGGTCATTTGATGATGTTGTAATCTTGGTAGAGATATGGGCTACTGTTAGCACCTTATTGCCCATTTTGATAAGTTGGTCATTTGATGATGTTGTAATCTTGGTAGAAATATGGGCTACTGTTAGCACCATTTGATAAGTTGGTCATTTTATGTTGTAATCTTGGTAGAAATATGGGCTACTGTTAGCACCTTATTGCCCATTTTGATAAGTTGGTCATTTGATGATGTTGTAATCTTGGTAGAGATATGGGCTACTGTTAGCACCTTATTGCTCATTTTGATAATAAGTTGCCCATTTGGTGATTTTATAATCTTGGTAGAAATATGGGCTACTGTTAGCACCTTATTGCCCATTTTGATAAGTTGGTCATTTGATGATGTTATAATCTTGGTAGAGATATGGGCTACTTTAAGCACCTTATTGCCCAGTATAGTGAGACGCCAATATTATAAAAGATTGATTCTTTTACAGCATCTAATGACCCAGATTCAGATGCCAATAATTAACCATTCCTCTCCATACATTTTTTGTGACAATCGATTGACATGTTTACAATTAAAAAGGCTATAGTGATTGTGTTAATTTACCAGAATTATGTAACGAAAGATTAATCATGGTCTGACAAGAATAATCCTTCCATCATCCTGGAAAATATAAGTAGTAAGTGTAAGGATCTTCTCTTGACCTATTTCTATCTTGGGCCTTTAAATGTGGCCACTCTTATTAAGATGTCCCTTTTATCCAACCATCAGTTGTTGTTAGTAATAAGCAGTGACCTTATTTTTGTAAAACTAGAGTACATTTGGGATATTTTGGTTATGGTAACAGAGTAATTATTCCAAAATAGCTAAAATCACCTGTTGAAACCTGAGGACATTTATAACTGAGCATGGAATCAAGAATACTTAATCAATAAAAGGAAGACGCGATCTTATTACATTTAAATTTTCAGTACCGCTACCTGAACTTTTACAAGTAGCCTGCTGTAGAATGTACTTTGAGGATGTGTACAGTTAAGAAGATATCTAGATATAACTATACTGACATAATTAATCTAAAATTAAATCAGTCAAATGTACACACAAGCCAAAATAAGTCCAAAGTGATTTCACATATCTGTAGGTAATCTCTCTAGTAAGTAAAAAATGGAAATGTTATAATTATGGGGCCAATTATTTTCACACATGGAATGAATTTTAAATTATGCTAAGGCTAGATTAAAACTCTCTTGAGTAAGGTAAATAAGAAATTCCAAGGCTGTTGACACTCGGTCTGAACAACTGCTCGTTTGTTACGAGCTGACACTGTAGGATTGGTGGTCAGACCAGGACAGTGTATTATTGCGGTGGACGTATTTCCCCATACCATTCCTTGTTTATGATGTAAAGCACAACAGAGAAAATCATAACACGTCAATATCACATCTAGGTTAATTATTTATTAATGGCCTCGTAATACGGAATAGAAATGAGCAATTGTTGTATGACCACTAATATTTTGTGATAAATATGCATGATTAGGAAGTTATTTGGAGCTGTTGAAACTACTGTAGCACCAAATTTTTTCTATCAAATAAATTTTCCTGGCAGTAGGGAAAGAATTAATTGATAATGTATTTAGTGTTTTCAAATTCAGGAAGGTATGGTACTGGGTAGTTGTATTTATATAAAAATTTTGAACTTTGTGATTTGACTTTATTTGTGTGTACATGCACAGTTGTCATTTTCTCATGGAACTTCTGTATGTGAATTTAATATACAAATTCACAGAAAGTAAGAAATGTCTAAAAAAAAGGGGAAGTGGTCCACATCCAATTTAATCAGCAGGAAATATCAGTCAAACATTTCCTTGTCCTCCAACTTAACATTTAGAATTTCACTCACATGGAGATTGAAGCAATTTTGCAATGTACCTTTCAATTGTCCAAATTGATTGAGAAAAGAAGAAAAATAGTGACTGTCATATTTGAAATCATAAAATAATTGACTTTGATGTACAAAATCATTGACTTTTTTTTCTGTCAGTATGTAGCATTTCAAGTCAACAAAGGACAAAATTCAAGCGAAAAAAATCTACCGGTATATTAAAAAAAGACAAGTTCACATGAAATCGTACTTTGTTATTTCAGGGACGAGATATAGAATCCCCCAGCCCTCCACCAGGTTCTCTGCCCCACAACTTCAGCCACAGTGTGTCATGTAATTCCATCAACAGTGAGGGGGAGTTCATCCCAGAGGGTGACGAGGTAAGATCACAACCCCCCCCCCCCCATCCCCACCCCACAACTTCAGTCACAGTGTGTCATGTAATTCCATCAACAGTGAGGGGGAGTTCATCCCTGAGGGTGATGAGGTAAGATCACAACCCACCCCCTCCCCCCCATCCCCACCCCACAACTTCAGTCACAGTGTGTCGTGTAATTCCATCAACAGTGAGGGGGAGTTCATCCCAGAGGGTGATGAGGTAAGATTACAACTCACCCCATCCCCCCCATCCCCACCCCACAACTTCAGTCACAGTGTGTCGTGTAATTCCATCAACAGTGAGGGGGAGTTCATCCCAGAGGGTGACGAGATAAGATTACAACCCACCCCCATCCCCCCTGCCATCCCCACCCCACAAATTCAGTCACAGTGTGTCGTGTAATTCCATCAACAGTGAGGGGGAGTTCATCCCTGAGGGTGACGAGGTAAGATTACAACCCTCCCCACCCCCATTTCAGCTACACTTCAGCCACACTGTGTAATGTAATTCTGTCAGCAGTGAGGTGTAAGACATTCCCCCTCCTTCTTCCACTCATTCCTCTAGTACCTCAGACAAAGCATATTGAGGATTTAGGAGGCACTTTGAGTAAAACTTTGAGTATAAAGATTTTTTAAAACTTAAAAATAATAAAATCATATTTGTACTGCATATTCAGTTAAAAGAGTTGTATCTTTAATTCCTGAGGCCACTTTCTATGGGTCAATTACAGATCAATGCAGCATGCCTTGCATTTAATACTCAGTAAGTTTTCTTTTCATTTCAGTAGATGCAAATTTATCTAAACTGTGGAGATCATTTTATACAGTACAGCTGCGTGAATTTCAAAAGTTTCACAAACCAAAAAAAATCCTAAATGCCTCATATATTTCACCAGATTACAAAAATTGTAACATTAAACCAAAGTAAACATCTAAGAAAGTTCAACCTAAAAAAGCAAAGTTTTTGTTGTGATTTTTTTAAATGAGTAAAGCCTGGAGGAGGTTGTGTCTCGCTGATTCATGGTGCTGCTTCAGAACATGGATTGGCTGTGACATTATAAGACCCGCGTACCTAACCTCTCACTGGTTTGTCTCTTTCTGACAAAGGGATTCCCCTCTAAGAAATAAATTAAACCACGTAATTTATATATTATGTATGTGGTTACTGCTGGACTTCAAAGCTTGTCAGAGAAGTCAATCCATAATTTATTTTATTCAAACTTGACGTTAATGTTTAGTTGTGTTGTAAACTATCAGGTGCCCTTTTTCTGTCATTCTTTTTATTGAAAGAGCAAACCTGTTTATGAATTTATCTCTGATATATTAATAAAAAGAATAAGATACAGACACTATTTATAACTTTATGACATTTACTTTTATAAATATTGCTATAGTACAGGTTTACATCCAATTGATTAAAATACACTGTACTTTGTTTTGCTGTTTCATCTTTCATTTTAGGCAGCAATGATCTGCTAACAATTTTTATGGTAAAAAAAAAGATTAAAATTGCATGTTCATTTTAGATAGCTTTAATGAAATCAATATGACACCTTTGAATTATGACTTCTGAAAACCATCAATTTATGTGAACATTTTTAAGAAAATGGAAAAAAAATTCATATTTTAGACTTATTTCATAAATGTTCTTTAGATATCAATCTTTTACAACCCATAGAAGAACTTCTGATCATATGTAAACATATTGAAAATATTACTACACCTGAACTTTTGAAAAACTCGTAGAATATTTGTAGCCATTTAGGCCTTAGTGTACCTTCCCAGTAGATACATGAAAATAAATAAAGTCATGTAAGTAGAAAGTTTTTGTTTGGAGAAATTAGCCTGGTGTTTTTAATGTAAACTTGTTTTAGGGACAGAAAGGGCTCCAGAAATTTATCTAGGCCTTTTTTAACCAAACCTTGAACAATAATCACAAGTGATATGTCTTTTTGTAACATTTCGTTGATTTTATCAAATTTGACCCATGCTTGCTCATAAAGCTGAGCTTTTCCGTAATTCTGTCTACCCACGTAATATTTGTCATACGGTTTCACCACTGATTGATATTGTTGGTTTATAGTTAAAAGTGCCTAAGTTACGGGATGCCACTGCATTTATAAATTATCATTTGCTTGCATCAAATGACATAATAAATGTAAAAACACTATAAAATACTGTGTAGGTAGACTAAGGAAATTAATTATGATAGCTTCATTAAGATTCTCGGTATTGGAGTTTTTGTGTACTTGTATGAGACACATTAATGCAGTTGTCACGATTTATGAGGAAGAAGATACAGCATAAATCTTAAATAGATAATGTCTGGAAACTATTTTCATTGTGGAATGGCTATTTTAGCAATCAGTAATAAATTTGTCAGGTTTCTCATTTCAGTAATAGTTCATATTTTGTAAAGAGCAGTAATCTATGAAAATGATATGATGATTTTGAAATTTTGATCTTGTTTCTCTGTACTAACAGCCACTGCAAAATTTTTTCTCCAAGTATAATATTGCCAAAAAGGGATGACAAGGCAATTTTTCAAAATAAAAAGAAATTGAATTAATTTGAATTCTATCTGGCATTCAATATTCCATGTTTTTTAATTTTATGACTTTGAAGCTAAGATAATTAATATTGAGTTTAATGATTTATAGTTATCTGTCAGGTAACATAATCCAAAACACTGCAATACAGAGAAAATTACACAGAATTTACAGCCCCTTTCAACTTTTTTCTTCTATCAAGTCTATAAAAAACATTTATACAAAGGATTTTTCAGTGAGTGGGATCTGTAACCTGGTTTAAGGTTACACATGATTTTTATGCCCTATATTTTGTACTGTTATCTGCATTATAGGGACCCAGTTAAAGTTTTCTGTTTAGTCATGCTGGTTTGTAAATATCACTGAAAATTTTTCTTGTCAGAAACTGATAACATCTTTTTCTTGCATATTGTGTTACAATGTTGGGAGAAATTCTTTCATTTGTTTTCCCTTCAAATATCAGAATGAAATTGCCTGTTTCACTTAATTCAGTAAATAAAAATTAGACAGTCTGTATACTCTTATCCTTAATTGATGTTTCTTTTTTTTTTTTTAGACTGGCTCAATGACAGAAAGCAACATATCATTAGACAGCAATTACATGAGCTCTTAGTAAGTTACCTGGAAATACTGATGGTTCTATACCTGGTGTATCTGTCTGTCTGTACATACTGCACATGACATCCCATAATAGCAATAAATTCACAGTCTTAATAATCATTATAATGTTTTTTGTTAACACGTCAGCTAGTTCATTAAATTTTCTGTATATACATTTTGCCAGTGAAATTATGCTCTCATGACACACACACACACAAATTACTCCCCACAAATGATTCCACAGTAATAAGTAAAGTTGATATTAGTAACAAAACAAAACCATTTCACTAGAGAAATATTTAACTAAAGGGTAACTACCTGGTAATATTAATATCTGTATAAATACAAACTTAAACATGGAATTAGAATGGTTGAGATATTTTGTGACATTTTATTAAAACTTATTAAAACTCCTGTAGCCCAGAAATGTAATTTTTGAGATAATCTTTATATGTAAAAACTTTGTGACATATAGTATAGGTAATTTATAGTTTAATCAAATCTGGAGGGATACATGTTTGGTGGGGCCAAAGTAGGGGATCCAGATTTTACATGGGAATTTAATTCTTGCTTACTAATAATGCTCTTAGTCGTTATTACAAAGATGTAGATCTATACATTTTAATCTCTTCTTTAACATTCTTTAGTTTTGTAATTACAGTGGTGGTGACACATTCCCACTCAGGGGCCGATCCACTTCACGTAGGAGTATTTTGCCTGGTGAAAGGGAAGAAGGTGAGTTTTGCAGAGTCACTTACAACTGAAGGAAGATTTAATCATCAAAAGTTTTTTTAAATAAAAATGATGCTAAAATTTTAGAAACGATTGTTTTTTAAAAAAAAAAATTCAAAGAACCAAAATTAGTTTAAAGAAGTGCTCTTTTCACAAATGTTGAAATTCTGTGAGTGCATGCATATAGAAAGATTTGTAATTTGTAGAAGGTCGAAATCAGTTTGGGACATTCCCTCGGAGTATGGGCTCTCTGTCTCAACAAATGGTGGAAGGACCCAGTACATTTCCCCGAATCCGACCGACGGTCAGTTCGCGGCCCGACCTCAGTAACAGCCTGCGGTCCGTGATGTCCTCGAGGGGGAGTGAGGGTACAATGTCCACCGTCAGCTCCAGTAGTAACAGCAGCGGCTTCCCTCCTGATCACGACATGGACTCACCTGATGGACGCATCATGATCAAACGCAATAGTGATCTAGATAGTCCTGTCTATGCCTTAGCAGATCTCTCCTTATCAAAATGTAAGAGAATCATACGATAAAACACAATTACAGAAAACAGGCTTTTAATGAATTTACAGTTACAGAGAAGTGGTTTTCATTATCCATAGTTTTAAAAAGTACTGTAAACTTGTTGGGTATTATGAATATGATTTGTAACAAATCAATATTGTTTGTCCCTGGTACCTTGCTATATTCAAGGGTTGATCCAAAAGTTTGTGGAATTTTTTCATATTTTATTTATTTTTAAGTGGAATTGGAAAATTACAAATGATAATATAGACATTTGATGAACATTTTAAAGTAAAAATCAGTTTAAATATCTTTGATAGTAACTCTATGGCAGTTGCCATAGAAACGGTTGTTTGGAAACGCGGGGGAGACATTAACGCGTTTATTTTCATTTTAATTCATAATATGTGAAATGAGAATTAAACCGCCCTATGTGGTATATAAAACGAAAATTATGTCATTATTATGATTGCCTGATCTAATATAAACCTTTGTATAATAGTTTTTTCTGAATTTACTGGAATTTTAGTTTATTAGTTAATGATTTATTGTTCATCTTTAAGTAGTTAGACAACATCGAATTTCGGTCAAGTCATATGTTTTGTGAAAATTCCGGGATCACTCTATCTTAAATGCATATATTATTGACAAAACCTTGGGAAAAATGCATTTAGTTACTGGTTTTCCAGTGGCATAAGAAATTTAAGAAAATAGAACTTCTATGGACGTTGATTAAAGGTGTTGTCGCTGTTTGGAGGTTCTGTTTTAAGTGCATATCCCCCTAGACAAATTAAAGGCGTTAATGGACATTGTTGGCTGCCGTACTGTTCTTGACATTGCTACTGAAATTGGAACATCATATGGAAAGATGGGGGTATTTTGAAATATGGGTGAAAAATGTAGATAAGTTGGTGCGAGAGGATACCCAGGCTTTTCTTGATGAAAAAAATGGAGAAAAGGACAGCATTTTGTAGAATTACGTATTCTGATTGGACATTAGAGCGAGTTGCTTCTATAACGTAACGTGACATATCTAACTTGACGTTACGTCGAAGTCTCCCCCGGGTTTCACAACTATCCATTTTCGGAAAGCTCGTGTGACCTCATTGGTAATTGGAAAATGATGAAATTTTCCAATATTGTTGAATTATGACTCTATATTATGAATATGCCTGTTGTTTGCTTTCATCAAATCACAATAAAATTTTAGAAAGAAATTCCACGAACTTTTGGATCAACCCTCGTATAACTCAATATCAGGACATGCATATTTTATCATTGGAATTCTAGCTTGTTTCCGTTATCTTCATTGTCTATTGAGCATGGACTTCATGGATGGATCTGTGTTCTGTTTTAATTATTTTGTATGATGTTATGATTTATACTCTACTCTGTGTTTTTCAGCCCCGCGTTGTCCTGTGAACTGGAAGGCGGGGTCCCTGTTAGGGAGTGGGGCGTTTGGGGAGGTGTACGTTTGTCATGACAAGGACACAGGCCGAGACCTCGCCATGAAAGTGGTCCGACTAGAACAGATGAATGCTGAAACGTCCAAGGTCTGACATTTTCATACGTTGTACGGAAAAGTTGTATAAGAGGAAAATGTTGTTAACTGAAAGATTAAGAAGGATATGAAATATGAAAGAATAAAGAATGAAGTTCTTAACATGAAATTTTAAGTTAATTTATATGTGTCAGTGCAGTAAAACTCGGTTATAACGAAGTCACTGGGTCCTATGAAATGACTTCTCTATATCCGTAATTCGTTATATCCATATAAGGAATTCGTTAAATTTATATAGCCGGGGATCCAAAATAAAGTCGCTATATCTGTGAATTCTCTTTATCCGTGTTCGTCCTAAACGAGTTTTACTCTATATTCTTAATTCCCAGCATGAAATTTTAAATTGGATTCTTTTATGGTCAAATTTTTATTATGAACAATGAATTAGTTGATATGTATTTATTTGGATGATGTATTTTATGAATTTGGATGGTTTTACAGGAAGTCCGAGCTTTGGAAAATGAAATTCATCTGCTGAGAAACTTTGAACATGAAAGAATTGTCTCCTACTTTGGTTGTGCCCAAGACAAGCAATCATTATATATCTTTATGGAGTACTTACCTGGAGTAAGTAAACACTGTTTCTGTTCTTAGTGAATCATATGTAATATTGTATTTCAGCTGAAATTTAACGAGACTTGTATTCAATTTTAGGGTTCTGTGAAAGATGAAATCACTAAATATGGATCTCTGACAGAAAACGTGACCAGAAAGTATACTAAACAGATGTTAGAGGGCCTGGCTTACCTCCATAAAAATGTCATTGTACACAGAGATATTAAAGGTTAGTATGGAATCACACCCATTGTATCACCCTATCACCCTGACCCATAGATTTGAAGGGCAACTATAAAATCCTATTGTGTAGTTTACTTTAAATTGACTCTCTAAGCCTGACATTTGCAAAAAAAAAAATAAAATTGAAGAACTTCACCTTATTCAAGAGAATATTTTCAACATGGTGTATTATTGCATTTAAAGTGAGTAATGAAGAATTTGTAATTTCTTTGTGCTTGTTTTGTAGGTGCTAATATACTGAGAGATGGTAATGGTAACATTAAGTTGGCTGATTTTGGTGCCTCTAAGCGCCTACAGACCATTGTTAGTGCCACAGGTCTACACTCAGTGGTGGGAACACCGTATTGGATGTCTCCGGAGGTTATAAATGGGGAAGGTTACGGGCGTAAGGCCGACATCTGGTAAGATTTCTACTACAGAAAATTGTCACTCTGTAATTGACATGAAATGAATTTGTATAGAGATTTACAGTACACTTTTTACTTTTACAAATTTTTTTTAGCAAAACTAGGTGTATGGGTTTTAAAATTGAAAATAATTATCATTGGATGAAATCGACATTTTCTTGCATTATGATGTAATTTGAAGGTACATGTATTGTACTAGTTGATCATACATTTGCGTCTGTCTTCTTTAGGAGTGTTGGCTGTACAATAGTGGAAATGGTCACCACCAAGCCACCCTGGGCAGAGTATGAGTCTATGGCTGCATTATATAAAATTGCTATGGAGAAAAAACCTAGATTCACATTGCCAAATCATATTTCAGAACTGTGTCATGATGTTCTCAATAAAACATTTGATAGAAATCCGAGCACAAGGCCAACCGCAATAGACTTATTAGGTCACAGATGGATAACGGGGTAAAAATCAAGTATTGTATTGCAGAGGTTTCCTCAAACAAGTGTTCATCTGACAAACAAAATTCTTTGCAACAACCTAAACCAGAAGTGAAAAGGGAATTATCTTTGTCAAACAAAGTATATATCTCTTCATATACCTTCTGCGGAAAATCCAGGACTTGTATTTCTGATGTATATAAAAGGAGTATTGAATACCCACAGACGTCTTTCAAGAATGATGTACTAGAAACACAAACAGTGTCTGAGACATGTCGAATCAAGTTCCTTGGATTTGATATGCAGAATTGCTATATATATAAGATTCCAGTGGGCATATCGGAGTGGGAGTGAGGAGTACCAGAGGGTTCTGACTTTGAGAATCAGTGCTTCAGATGAATATATCTGACAGACTTGGGATACAAAGTATTAATTAGCTATGACAGTTCTGTAAAACCCACCATCTCACCAGCATATAGTTCAACCTTCCATTTCATTATTTTTACTTGTTTTATAAAACCATGTCAATAACCATTATAGATGTTTCATCAGGAAATTAGATATTTCAAACTTCACTGTGCAAACAAAGGGCAAAAAAAACAAACTATGCACCAGTCCTGTCTACAAGTGACACTATTCACTTTATTTTTTGAAAAGAATGCATGTCTTATGGAAAATAATCTTTATAATACTGACCCCATATTCGTAGACTCATTTGGACCTCTTTTTAAGCATAACTATATTTGACTGTTGATAGGTCAGCTCATTTATTCTGATTTCAGGAACAACCACTGGTTATTTTGAATTTTTAAAAATAAAAAAATATCAGGGTATGTAAACTAGCACTACATGAAGTAACTTGATTTTGTGTCTTTTAAATTTTAGCATATGTGTAATTATGAGCAATCAATAACCTTGATTGCTCTTAGCAATATATAAAATTGATACTTTGATTTTGATAATGAAATAGCACTATGAGACTGCATTAAAGAAAAATAAATCCAACTAAAATAAATATAGTCCTACAGTACTATGGCGCCCTTGTATATTAATGGCAAACATGAACAAAAATCATCGAATTTCTGAGATTATTTGAAGAGAAAATCATTTGCACAAAGATGAGATGATATTACAGTTCCATTACTCCTGGTTGACTTGATTACTCCTGAGTATTGTACAGTAGATGTTTATTGTATGCCTTACTTCTATCTATTGCCACATTTCTTTCACTCATGTAAAATCTAGGTTCTAGTGTTAAGACTATTTTTATACATTGTATTATGGTAAGACGTATCTAAGTCAGAGTGCCTGACAAATGCTGCTTTACGTCTGTCGTTACTGATGTATCTTTTTTTATGGTGTTCTTCTGTTAACAAGAAATCTGTATTTTGATATGAAATCATTTTTCACAGTGTTGATTTTTTAGTAAGACAGTACCTGATATAGTCATTCAATTTATTTTTCCTGCCTCTCGTCATAAAGGTGCAATGAATTACTATAGACACTCTTGGGCATTATTCCCATTCAGTGTAAACTTATTTTGATTAATGACATTTCCAAAAATGTTCTTGTGGTATGAGAGTTTTAAAGATTTGGCTTAATGTCTGTATCCATGACAATTAGGAAGCAGTAGTTCTGTGTCAGTCTGATGCTTTCCTTTTGACCAGTCCTGTCTATGTTCTCTGCAGAAGTGAGTTCATTGGGTACACAAATTATTTTGAAAAACTAGGTTTCATCCAAGTTGGTGAGATTTTCTGTCATAAATCAGTATTTGAAGGTGCATTTAAAAGTTGTATACCTTCATTAAAGGAAAGAGAACCAGATTTATATAAGCAATTTTATTCCTACATGATTGTTAAAAAAAACTATTATTTTTCTTGGTCACTTTGTAATTTTTTTTTAAGGAAGTGCATTTACTTATTCCACAGTATTCATTGATTTACTGCAAGGTTACTAGTTTTGTTTCTTGAATGATTTGTCATAGAGGAGGGGAGGAAAGTACATGTACTGTGTATCACATCACTATATTTTATTTAAGTACTGTAATCTTCAGCAGGGCTTTGAACTTAAATTTCAATTCAGTTAGGAGACTGATCAGCAAAACACATATTCTGGAAAATTTAGAGTTATTGTACCTATTTTGAGATTGCACCGTTTCCATTTGCTGTGTTATTTGATTTATCAAATTTAACTAATTTTATATTTTTATTGAGCATAAAATTATTTTTGAAAGAGCCCTATTAAATTATTAAAACAATTGAATGATAACCAGGCACACATTTTCCTGGAAAGAAAATATTTTATTTAAAGTTCTTTTGAAGTTCATTTTTGTTCTCCAAAGTAGCAAAAAGCCTCATTTAGAAGAAAAAGTTTACTAAATTACTATTTACTGATACCAGACCCTAGCTTTCTATATAATCACATTTTCAAAGATAACTACATTAAATCAAATGTGTATAAATTGTACAGATGCTATATGTTAAATAGTAGCTACAGATTTCATGACGAATGTGATAGATGGAAGTAAAAACTCCAAGTCCCAGTGATTATTTGTATATAAGTGTAAATAATGTGTACAGGTGTTCATAAATATATAGCACTAGAAACTATACTTAACATTGCAGGCTTTAAGGACGAGTATTAATGGTGGTTTCTCTCTCTTTATTGAAGTTAAACTTTACTTTGTGTATACATTTAGAGATAAGAAATTGAGGATAGCAAAGTTTAAATTCATGTAAAATTTCTATTTTCTCATTTTTAGAGAAAGGGGGTGGGGTGTGGCAACGCACTTTGAAAAAATTACGCACTTTGAAAAATTTTTTCAAAGTGCGTTAAAATTGGGACAAAATCAACGCACTTTGAAAAAATTTTTCAAAGTGCGATAAATTTGGGACCGACTCAACGCACTTTGAAAAAATTTTTCAAAGTACGTTAAGAGTCTACATCAATATATTTTACCATGGAGGCACTTAACGCACTTTGAAAAAAAAATCATATTTTAGTCATGGAAAGATTTTCTTTGTTATTTATCTTTCAAAAAACTAAACCTAACCCTAACCTCAAAAATGAATTGATTTTACTTCCGTCGAAAAGAGGAGAAGACGGGTATAAGATCCCTAAGTCCAAATCTTTATCTTTCCAATACATAGGTGTCGGTAACAAACGGGGGGGGGGGGGGAGCAATAAATCTAAAAAGGGTACGCTGCATTTTCAATGCTTATACAATTTATATCTTTCCAAAATATAATTCTTTATTCAATAACTTTAAGCCATATGGCTCATCAGTTTATATAAACAAAAATACATAATGACGAGAGGTGAGAGTTTAAGTCCATCTGCCTGAATCCCATACTGATATACACCAACAGATATACAATATATTTCCAATTCTCCATTATTACATAAATAAGTGGGGGGCTTAGCCCCCCCCCTATCCCCTCCCCTGGCCCTTCGCCAATCTCGATGTCTATGCTATACTCAAAGCATTCATATCATTATGTATTAACCTAACTGGTATGACTTTAAAAACTTTCAATAATAAATGAGTTAATTAAAACAGATGAAAACTAGAAATTTTTAAGTACAGTAAAATGTATGAGAGAGAAAGAATTTTTATAGTTTTGAACAATCAAATTGGCCCCTTTTTATTATGATAAATGTCCTCTGTTAGTGCCCCCTATACACCTTTACATCTACTTATCAAAGACTAGAATAAAAAAAAAGAAGAAACGAATTAATGAACTTAAACAATCGTCATTCTTTTTTTCAAGACCCTTTAATTTTCCCTTTTATTTTATCAAAACCTTAAATATTTAAAACGTCAGTAATTACAGTGACTTTATCATAAAAAAGTCATCAAACCATCTGTTATTTATCATACCGATTACTTGAATGAATATTGTTCAATCTTTACATTTTTTTCAAAGTGCGTTAATATGGTCGATATTAACGCACTTTGAAAAAAATTTTTTTTTTTCAAAGTGCGTTACCTTGGTCCCAAATTTTAACGCACTTTGAAAATTTTTTTCAAAGTGCGTAATTTTTCAAAGTGCGCTGTAACAGTGGGGTGAGTTTTTTTTTATTGAAATTATTTGACAAGACAGTAAATTATTGAAATTATTGTAAAAAAAAAAATAACTAGAGAAGTTTTATATCCTTTTTTAAAAAAATTAATCAATTAGAGCACGTTGATCGACCAAGAGCTCACGATGTAAGAGAGAAAACCTACAGTGTTTGTTTGTACATGTAATATGTTTATGAATGAATGTTATGAACAAATTTTCTATCATGTTAAGTTATGTATACACACATATATATAAATATATATATTATATAGATCAAATTATTATTATAAAGATATTATTGTTTTGTATTGTAATTGTGTCGGTTTATAGCCAGGCACTTTGACCGCATTCTGATGTTTTATGTATGTCACCTCTGTGAAGATGTTATAACCCATTTTACACAGATTTTGAAAGGATTTTAAAATTTTTCAAGTTTTAGCCCCTTGTTATGATGTTTAATCTTTATTTTATGGAAACTGTCACTTTTTTATAAGTACAGAAAAACTGTATTTTTCGTATTTATTTAAATTTTGAAATTTAGAAGCAACCTTCTCCTATGGAACTTGAAATTTGGTGATGCAAGAATTTAAGAGTATTGAAACAATTAAACTTGAATTTGGATAACTTTACAAACTAGAAGTGCAGGGAGCTCGTATGACCTGTTATAACTAGCCTGTGATTATACCTGACTATTTTTGTTATACCTTTATGCAAATCATGAATCTTCATCACTTGTGTCATTTGTGCCTTATTTTTATACACCAATAAAATTGTGTATAAGTAAAGGTCCAAGGTTTTTTAAAAAGAAACTTCAGCTCAATAAATTGAGGAGCTAATGTAAAGGTTATGTGTCTATTGTCCGTTTGTCTGTCTGTAACTTCTTCAAATTACCACTGATGGGTACTTTGATTTATTTTAGTAAAATGTCTTGTAATGAATACAGTATTGATATATAATAATTCTTTTGATCAGTTCTTGATAATGATGAATGATGGTTTTGAAATTTTATAAAATATTAATGTGAATTCCTCTATATTGATATTCCTTTTGCAGTTTTGGTGTATTCCTAAAAATCCTAACAGTCCCTGATACATAGCAGGTTCCAGTCAATGTTCTACCATGCTTCTTTCTTTACTCCTCTCTAAAATATTAAATGTTACAATCACATATTAAAAGATTGAGGGGCAATATGAAAACCATCCATCCTTCTGTATTCAATAATCCAGAAGTGATTAAAAGAATTAGATAGATTACATAATCAGTACGTAATGGGCCCTGCTGACAAAGCAGGCAACAACATTGTCTTCGTTTGTGAGGCTCATTATTATATAAATTGTATTTTAGAAGAACTTGGATCTAATTCTGCAAGTGGTAATCCAACTTATACTCATTGTTCCCTTTCTAAGAAGCAGATTCTTCAAAATCATGTCAGTTTTGAATATTTTTAATATTCCAAAGAACCAAAATGAATTTGAACTACCTTATATATATATTGGATTCCGAAACTTCATAAGAATCCTAACAAACAAAGATGCATTGCGGATTCCAGTAAATGTTCAACCAAGCCTCCTTCTTTACTCTTCACTAAGATATTAACAGTAGTGAAGGAGAAACTTCAAGAGTACTATGCAACAATATATTCAAGAAGTGTAAATCAGATGTGGATACTTGAAAATTCCAAGGAACTTTTGGACAATTTGAAATCACAAGCTTCCACTAAAATCAACAGCTTAAAAACTTTTCAACTTTTTACACAACCATTTCCCATGATAAATAAAGTCCAGGCTTTTTGATATCATTGACAATTTTTCAATAAAAATGGAACTCGTAAATTTACCTACCTGGTCAATGGTCATTAGCAAAATTATTTTGTTTAAGGTGGCTCATTACATCCACAGTTTATTTTAGATTTCAATACAGCACCACTTATAATGTAGATGTCAAATATCCAGATGGGGGTATTGATATCATAAATATTTTTTATAGAATTTTTAGTTTTTGTTTTATTTTAGTGAAATGTTTTATTTCAGGTTTATTATTCACAGAATTTCAGAACTTTCAGTGTCAAATGATGGGCATCTTCTTAAGACAAGTACACACAGTGAAAATACCTCATAATACCTAATAATAATTTTATTAGAAAAAATAATTTTCTCTAGAAAACAATTAATGTCATTATCTTTTTAATCTATGCATAAAACATTTTAAAAATGTGTTCTGAAGAGACAAGGAATGTATTTCAATGAATTACATGTGTCAAACTGAATGAAGAAAGTTTAAACGAAATGAAAAATCCAATTTAAAAAATATTTGGTATAAAAAGTCCACTTTCAAGAGTTATCTTTCCTGATTAGCCAAGACTCAAAACACTATGGAACGTTTGACATTACATCTAAAATTCAGAATAAAGCTTTAAATTACCAGAGTATACATTTAAATCAATAAAACAAATATTTAAATTAACACCAACACAGTAAATAGCGCAATTAAATAAAATTTTAATTTCAACAAGGTTGTAGATTTTAACTCGAATTTCCTCCATACATACATGTCAGTGATTGATAGAGTTCACTGCATGCATGGCTATGAAATTGACATTACTTGTTTGGCGAAGATTTGACTGTTGCTTTCTTTTGTTTCTGCCTAAAAGCAATTCTTCTTGGTTTGTGCATAATGAATCCGTTACTTTGTTTTCACTGTTTACAACACCGCATGTTTCATCTATTTTTAAAGAGTTTTAAAGGTTCATATTATAGTTATAAACTCTTCCCCTGAGCAAACCGGTCGACACAATGGAGGTTTATTTTTTTGTGTAGTACGTCATCAAAAAGTGGTGTAATGAGCCTCTTTAAAAACATTCTGATTGTTTGGAGACCAGATCTTCCAACAATCTATTGGAATTCCCATGGGTGCCAATTAACAATGGTAATTTCCATTATTATGTCGAAAGATATATCCTGGTGAGCTTGAGATAAAAGATACCACAAAGTCTGACACCTCTGTTTCATATTTGGATATTTTACTTGTAAAAGACGTTAATGGTAATCTAACAACCAAGCTCTATGATAAACGGGATGACTTTAACTTTTCTATCGTCAACTTCCCTTACTTACGCAGCATTATACCTTTATCACCTGCATACGGAGTGTATATATCTCAGCTGATTCGATACACAAGAGCATGCTGAACAATTTCTAAAACGAGGTAAATTATTTCAAGAATTTCAGATGTCTCGTTTAAAGTCATGTTATGTTAAAGTTATGTCGTTGATTTTGGTAAAATTTTGTGATTTCAAATTTTCCAAAAGTTCATAGGAATATTTAAAGTATCTTCATCTGACTTACACCACTTTTTGCATATTTTGTTACACATTACTCCTGCAGTTTATCCTTTTACTACAATGAAAAATAATGAGATAACGAACAGTATTCAAGATCAAAAATCCATAAAACAATACAAAATAGAAGCAGAGCAATTACGGACCTCCGAAACATCAGAAGTGGGATCAGGTACCATGGAGGAATGAGCATCCCCTGCCGACTGGTCACACCCGCCGTGTGCTCTTTGTCATAATTGGGAAAAAACGGAAAAACCCGTCCTCATTTCAGTTCATAAATAATGGACTAACAATAAGTATGAGAAACATCAGTGAAGCATTTGACTCAATGATAAATTGTATTTGCTGACAAGGTCATTGTACCGACCATAGAACTTACGAAATGATGACTTTAAACGAGACTGGTGATATAATTGTTTCATCAACTTGTTTGTTAATAATATACCTCGTTTTAGAAATTGTTCATACGTAGAGCATGCTCTTGCGTATTGAATCAACTGAAATATATAAATTCCGTGTGCATGTGATGAAGGTATATTGCTGCATAAGTAAGGGAAGTTGACGATTGAAAAGTTAAAGTCCTGATGACTTTAACTTTTCAATCGTATATATTATAAAGTTTGGTCGTTAGATTACCATTAACGTCTTTTTTCAAGAAAAAATATCCAATACGAAGCAGATGTGTCAGACTCTGTGGTATATTTAATCTCAAGCTTTCCAGGATATATCGTTTCGACATAAGAATGGAAATTACCATTGGTAATTGACAATACGTCGTCGATATATCTAAATGTCGAGTTGAAGTCCACAGCAAGTGTTTTCTTCTTTTCACGCATAAGATTTTGGACAAATTCTGCTTCATATGAATACAAAATAGGTATTCTAATAACGGGGCGTAAATTGTACCCATTGGATTTCCAATAGATTGTTGGAAGGCCTGGCCGCCAAAGTTATCGACCTTGAAAATGACCTTGTCAGCAAATATAATTTATCATTAAATCAAATGCTGACTGATGTTTTTCCATACCAGTTGTTAGTCCATTATTTACACACTGAATCCCGTTCTTTTCTGATTACGTTAAGGAGTAAGTATAAGGTTGGAAATGCCGCTTATTACGACGAATGAAACGAATGCTTACACACTTTTTTTTTTATGAAAATAGGTTAACTAAGTAAAATGATTTTGCATCAAGTCTTGTAACCATGTGCACACTTATAAAAAGTTTTGGAAGGTGATGTATGGTATTATATTATAGTCCCTGCAAGTGAATTATCCTCAGACAAGTCTCTCCACGGCGACCAGATTGGATGTGTTAGGTTGTTACAACTCACTCTTGGATTTCTTGGAAAGAAAAAGAAACAGTCAATGAAACAAGAGGCCCACGGGCCTTATAGGTCACCTGAGTATCATGAAACAACTTTCCAAAAATTGACTTTGGTTCGTGTTTTAAACCAGATGCCATGAAATTCACAATTCTGAAAGAGGCACCATTGCTTATCATAATTATACACTTAGAATGCTTACTCTAGTTACTACCCAGAGTTAGATCAGAGTAAGAAAGAGAAAATGCATTTTCACTTTATAACCAGTCGTGCACCCCACCCCGAGGAACCACTGACCCTGGGGCCACATATTTAAAAATTTTGGAAATTTTATCATAAATTTTATTTCATCAAAAATGGTTGATTAATACCACAGAGCAGATTTCAAAGCATTTATTTATCTTCAGACTATGTACTGTTACCCCTCCACCCCCCCTTCCCGATACTCCTGACCCAGAGAAAATGAAATTAATCATGCTAGATGCACCTTTCTTCATCATAAATATATGAACTAATATCATTAGCATAATACCCAGGAGCAAAGAAAAAGATTTTCAAAGAATTCATGCATTTTCACTAAATAATTAATAGAGCCGCACCCTTACACCTGAACCCCTGACCCAGGGGCCATGAAATCCATAATTTTGGAAGAGGCATCCTTCCTCATCATAACTATGTACATGTATAGAACTGTACATAGCAGAGAAGAAGATTTTTGAAGAATTAATGCATTTTCACTATATCATCAATGGAGCCCCGCCCTAACACCAGAACCCCTGACCCTGGGGCCATAAAATTCACAATTTTGGAGGATGCACTCTTATTAATCATAACTATGTACTTAGTTGGTTTCTTTAATACCCAGGAGCAGAGAAGAAGATTTTCAAAGAAATAATGTTTTTTACTATACAATCAATAGAGCCCCGCCCTAACACCAGAGCCCCTGCCCAAGGGGCCATGAAATTCACAATTTTTGAAGAAGCACTCTTGGTCATCATAACTATGTTCTTAGTTTATTTAATACCCAGGAGCAGAGAAGAAGATTTTCAAAGAAATGCACTTTTAGTATATGATCTACAATGTATATAGCCCCACCCTAACACCAGAACCCCTGACCCAGGGGCCATGAAATTCACAATTTTAGAAGAGGAACTCTTGATCATCATAACTATGTTCTTAGTTAGTTAATTAAATATCCAGGAGCAGATAAGAAGATTTTCAAAGAATCAATGCACTTTTAATATATGATCTATATAGCCCCGCCCTTACATCAGACCCCCTGACCCAGGGGCCATGAAATTCACAATTTTTGAAGAGGAATCTTGGTCATCATAACTATGTTCTTAGTTAGTTAATTTAATACCCAGGAGCAGAGAAGAAGATTTTCAAAGAATCAATGCACTTTTAATAATATGATCTATATAGCCCCGTCCTAACACCAGAGCCCCTGACCCAGGGACCATGAAATTCACAATTTTTGAAGAGGAATCTTGGTCATCATAACTATGTCCTTAGTTAGTTAATTAAATATCCAGGAGCAGATAAGATTTTCAAAGAATCAATGCACTTTTACTATATGATCTATATAGCCCCGCCCTAACACCAGAGCCCCTGACCCAGGGGCCATGAATTTCACAATTTTGTTAGAGGACTCAGTGCTGATTACAATCATATCAACAGTTTGACTTCTTGATGTCCAGGAGTAAAGAAGAAGATTTTTAAAGATTGCATTAATTTTAGTGGTTTTGGCTCCACCCCTCAAGCCCCAGGGGGGCAGGGACCATGAAATTCACAATTTTTGTTCCCCTTCACCCATAGATGCTGTATAGCAAATTTGGTTGAAATTGGTTCAGTAGTTCCAGAGAAGAAGTTAAAAATGTTCAAAAGTTTACGAACGACTTACGACGAACGACAAACGACGTACGACGACAGACAAAAACAGATAGCAATAGGTCACCTGAGTTTACTCAGGTGACCTAAAAATGCTTCAATTATCAATAAAGAGTGTTCCTTTTCATTGAACAGTAAGAATTTCTGACAAACAATACCATTTCTTGCATATCAGAATCCACACGTTTTTAAGTTATCACGTTGGACATATTTAATTTACTTGGTAGCAGTAAAAATACACAATAATTAGTTGTCATTTTGTTAATTTTGTATCTCCCACCATCTGGTATATTCAAAATTCACAAAATGAAATCGAGTTGACTTGGATTTCCCAAGTGTTCATTGAAATTAACTGAAAAAATATAATTGTTCACTTACGCATTACTCATCACAAGAAATGCTTGGCGGGTAATTTCATCCACCTCAATAGTTTGACACATGATGGACGACATCGTAACCTTCTTAATTTCCATCAATTGATCTAAAATTTGGAGAAAGTTGGTCAGGAAACAAAAAATAAGATACATCAGATATAGTGTACGTACATGCCTTGTTACAACGCACTTTGAAAAATTACGCACTTTGAAAAAAATTTTCAAAGTGCGTTAAAATTTGGGACCAAGCTAACGCACTTTGAAAAAAATTATTTTTTTTCAAAGTGCGTTAATATCGACCATATTAACGCACTTTGAAAAAAAATGTAAAGATTGATCAATGTTCCTTCAAATAATCGGTATGATAAATAACAGATCCTGGTTTGATACATGTAACGTTTTTATGATAAAGTCACTGTAGGACCTGAGATATTGACGTTTAAATATTTAAGGCTTTGATAAAATAAAAGGGAAAATTAAAGGGTCTTGAAAAAAAGAGTGACGATTGTTTAAGTTCATTAATTCGTTTCTTCTTTTTTTTTTTTTTTAATTCTAGTCTTTGATAAGTAGATGTAAAGGTGTATATGTGGCACTAACAGAGGACAGCTTCAAGCAACTTAGCATTTATCATAATAAAAAGGGGCCAATTTGATTGTTCAAATCTATGAAAATTCTTTCTCTCTCA